TCTTAAAGAAAAAAATTTTACCACATCCCACAACAGGAATACAAGCTGGAACTTGACATTCTCTTTAATTTGGTTATGTTTTTCCCTAGGTCCCTAAGGAAAAAAAGAAGGCTTACCTTTGAGTATTGTATCAAACTGTACCCTCTAGAAATAGGGTCTAAGAGGGCCATATTGAATTCTAGCCAGTGACCTGATTTATCCCAACTTAGAAATAGTGGTATTCTCCCACAGGAGTAGGAGAAAAGAAAAACACAGTAATCCCCCAAATGCACTGTTGCTATGGAAGAGAAGGGGATACCCGCTGAGATGGAAAGCCACAAAATATTTGGGCAGTTGAGAAAATGTAGGCCCATCTTGTACTGCCAAAGCCCGAAGACTCTTTGCCAGGACTCCCCATTCATTTGGCATTGCAGAGAGATGCTGGACAGAACCTTAGCAGAAGATATGAGGAAACCAGACACATTTTAATATTCATTGACCAAAGCTCTCCAACTATTCCTTCAAATTAGATAAACGAACAAGGAACTGGGAGCCAAAAGAAAATTTTAATAAATACCTAAAATGAATTCATAATCATTAGAATAGTCAAATAGCTGGTGAATGCCAACTATTACATTTCTTAGACATTTCACCAGTAAGTTTAATTAAACTTTCCCAAAGCCCATTCATACTATGCATGGGAGAGCATTCTCTCTCTTTCTCTCTCTCTCTCTCTCTCCAGTTTTCTAGAAAAGAGCTGACTCATATGATTACACTGCTCCAATTCCCCTTTCTAAAATGCTATATTTCAGTCTTTCTTGGCTGCTATAGAAAAGATAGAGGGTTAATCTCCAGCCTTATATTTTAGAGAAAATCATCACAAACTACAGGCTCCATTTGGTTAAAAAGAAGCTGCAGGGGAGACCAAACCAATCCAAGCCAATTATCCTTAAAGAAACATGTCAAAATTAATTAGAAATTTAAATCTATATTTACAGATACTAAAAAAAGAGAAAAACATCCCTATTCTAGAGTTTAATGATCCTAACAGCCTCCTATGTAATTTGCAAGACAAGAATATTAACTTGTGGGAACTCAATAAAAATTTATTGTGCATCTCTAGTGGGCACTGGGGAAAATATTGTAAATGTATTTTAGACATCTTCAAAAGGCTTAGAGTCTGGGTCAAAAAAGAGTTGAGTAATCAATTATCATACACAAAAGAATGGCAAAAGTATGAAATAGAGCGGTATAACGGATTTTTTCAAAAGACAGTGGAAGGAGTGGAAGGAAAGATGAAAAAGAAATAAGAGAAAATACATCAACCCATGGGCAAAGCCAAAGTGGGGTAGGATTGAGGGTGGGAGGTGGAAGGAAGGGATGGGTGGGGCAGGAGAAAATGGTGGAAGGAAAATGGAGACAACTGTACTTGAACAACAATAAAAAAAAAAAACATTGATGTACAGAATGGAAAGTGGTAGAATGACTCCAAAAATTGGTTTAAGTGCCACTTAGAGTATTCATACAGTAATCTGTCATGCTCTTTTACTGTCCACAATTACCAGTTTCACAACAGTTTTAGAAGTATGCACCTCTCGCAGAGGTGTCTAGGATGTACCTGCAAGTAAATGTTTTAGGATCTGTTTCATTCCTGGAGTTATAACTTAGAAAGAAACAGGCAGTCTGCATGTGTATATACCAGCAAAACTATCTCTAAGTTGAAAAGGTGATCGCATATTTCAATATTTCACAAACAATAAACATGAATCATAGTAATGTGACACATGTTGAATAGATTTCAGAGCCTTAAGAAAAATATTAAAATAATTTTTGAGTTATATGTGCCTTTGGACAGTAATAACCACTAGTCTTAAAAATATTAAGAAGCTTAAAAATATTCTAATGTTCTTTCTCCTAAGCCTTAAAATAGTAGGAGTAAATTTAAATGTGGTCTTCTTTGTTATATACATGTTGTATCTATGAAAGTCAATTTAATCCTATTTCTATAATAAAAGTATGATCCACTTGAGCTTTACTCTTGTGAATTATGAATCATTGTAGTTCTCTGGGGACAGTTATATCTCTAAGGTTCTTATTTTGCTTCTTCAATTTTTTCCTCAAATATCTTGGTACCTAAAGTATCTAGGAAATGTGAAGTCCCCATATGAAATATCTTAATATATTCCTTCCACTTACTCTCCACTCTTTCCTTATATAACTTTAGAGGACCAAAAGATCACCAAATAAAATGATACCAGTTCTATTCTTTCCTTAGAAGAAAAGACTACTTATTAAAGTCTTATTCCTCTGGTAAGTAGCTAAAATAGCCAATTAAAAAATAGGGTTTAACCATCAGACAGAAGTTGTTTTTAGAATAATGAAAATGCGTAGTCATTACATTTGTATCCCCTTGGGTGTTATTTTGAGATGTGGTTCTCTGTCACTTATTTTAGCTGTTCTGTTTTCCAATTCATCCTTTCCAATAAAATAATAATACATAAATAATAGGTGCCAAGATTTTACAGATTTTACTCTATTGGTATGCTTTTGTTCTCCAAGCATCTTAAAATATGAGTGTGGTAAAATACAAAGAGAATCTGGATGTGAGCTTTCTTAATGAAAAAGAATCTGTTTTCTCTTTTTTCCTGCTACACACATTGCAGATTCCAGTTAACTATGCATTAAGCAATAAAGAATAGTAATTTTGAACCCAAGCATCATGCCAAATACTTCTAGTGAAAAATAGTTGCTAAACATAGCTTCATTTTAAAGTCACTGTTTTCATTAACAGTGTCTTCCAACAGTCTTGTTTCAATAGTACTACTACCATTAACCATGAAATTTAGCTGCTTCTGTTTATTTTTTGACTTATAACTATTACATTGCCAACTCAATTTATTTTCCCAGTTGTCATTATCCTGTTAAGAGTATTGTTAATAAGCTAAAGTTCTCTATCTCTTTTCTTAGCTTATATAGATGCCTGAATTTACTTACCAATACAATATAGACTATAGAAGCCAATGGAATGTAGATTCAATTCCTGATACTGGCCTTCACTCCAATCCCTATTTAAAAGGTTCATTTTTAGAAAAGAGTTGTAAGAAGTATACTTCATGCATTTTTCTACTTACTACACATTAGTAACAATAGCAATAAGAAAAGTCTAGTGAGTCACAAACTAATTCAGAGCTATGAAAAAAGGATGAGTTTGATTAGAAAGCAGACTGCTAGTGCAATGAATTCAAGAATAAACTGGCCCTGGCTGGTGTAGCTCAGTGGATTGAGCGCGGGCTGTGAACCAAAGTGTCGCAGGTTTGATTCCCAGTCAGGGTACATGCCTGGGTTGCAGGCCATGAACCCCAGCAACCGCACATTGATGTTTCTCTCTCTCTCTCTATCTCCCTCCCTTCCCTCTCTAAAAAATAAATAAATAAAATCTTTTTTTAAAAAGCTAGGATTACTATTTAAAAAAAACATTGTGATATTTTTTTTTAAAAAGAATAAACTGATGTCACGTGACTAGTACAATTTTACCAGATCCAATTCTTCTCACTGTGATCTGCAAAATGTTAGCCAAAGACCAACTGAGAATTAAAATTAGACATTCTTAAAAAACTGTACTATATTACCACCATCATAAATAATGCTAACAAATATCATTGTACCCTTAGGATTCTCAAGCTAATGTACCAGGTACTTGAAATAAAAAGAAAGATTAGACATACTTTCTCCAATTAAGGAATATGTATCAACATGCAAATATCACTTGGATATGCTGATTTTAGTTAATCAATGACTTTACATTCAAGTATAAAAACTTTCTTTGAGCGCCTATTTTAGAGTGGGCACTAACCTAGTGATTGGGGACCAAAAATAAGATATATATAACACATACTGAGGGTAAAGTTAGATGTTAATTCATGAGTTATGATCAGGAAGTATACACAGATTACTGTTCCTGACAACAGGCTAGAATTCAGAAACCAGCACTTGGCAAGAAAGACAGATGATGACACTTTCTTTAATAAGCAGACTTTGAGTGTTCCATCATTCCCTGACCAACCCATAAGGAATAGTTCTCATCTTGCTAAGGAAAACTACCACTAAGTATTTTTAAACATAACTAATGTCTCATCCTAGAATGAGATTAGAAAAGAAACCTCAAGGGTAAAGTGACCACCTGAAAAAATTAGTTGAAATAAATGTTTATGTGCATACTGAGTATTCACGGTAAGCTGAAATTTTTTTCTTAATGAAGCAGTATTCAACATTTTATAACATTGGTGTTAAATTGTATGCAATTCCTAAAATATTGTCACAGTTAACTGCAATAGATACAACTCAGCCAACATTTTAAAAGTCTGAAATTCATAAAGTAGTGGATCAGATTCTCATCTACATAACACATAATGGGTTCTTTGATACAGATTTACTTTCATAAAGCTATAGAAGGGCTGATTCTAGTAGACTGTGAGCCAATCACAGCACTAAAGTTTAGGGAATATAGACTAAAGAGGTCACTAATTACAGTTGCCAAAAGTCAAGTTTTCTATAAATATGACCAAGTCACCATATAAACTATGACAATGCATGTCTTTCCTAAAACTGACATCTAAAACATACAGAATCAAGCTATCTCACAAATTCAAGTCCTTCAAAAATATCCACAGTTAGCCATACTACATATATTCTTCAAACAATCTTGAGAAACTCCAAAACTTCAGTCTACTACAATCTTAGACTATGGTCACTTTAAAAGGTTTCTAGTAATACAGAATAATATTGAATGTAAATTAAACTATAACTGAAAAATAAAAATAAGAAAATTTTTAAATTTTAAAAAATGAAGTGTCTACTAAAAAATAACATCTGCCCATAAAAAGAAATGAAAAAAGGTAGTGTGACAGGTTATATATCCAGATTTCATCTAAATAAATATATCATTTTATTTTTTGAGTGATGAGGAACTACACGTCATGGAGTTCTGTCCGCCTATGTAGTAAGTTAATCCAAAGGAAAGTATGGGAAAGGGTTGATAAACTGGTGCTGAAGGACCAGACTAAATATCACGTTTCTAGGCTAGTTGTTCTAAGATGTTTCTAATGCTGATCTGTGTCGCTTTGAAGAACATTGTTTGACTCTCACTATATTCCAAATATAGAACAAGAATTTTTTATTACACCAGGGTCTTACTATGTAATAATATGAAATACTCAAACAAATTTAAATTAAACTTTTTTAAATGGTAAATTTTCAAATTAAGAAGATATACTAAAGATGAACTTGTCTTTTCTAAACATTTATTATTCATATCAAGAGTATCAGCAGTCAAGATGGAGGTATAGGTAGACACGCTTTACCTCCTCACATGACCACAAAAAGAATTACAACTAAGTCTCAAAACAGATAATACCCAGAACTGTCAGAAAATCAAAATGTATGGAAATCAAACAACCAAGAATTTAAGGAAGCCACATTCATCCAGACAAGTAGGAGGGGAAGAGACATGGAAATGGGTGGAGAGGCACATTGTGGTGTGGAGAAGCAGTGGCAGTGGTGGAACAGGCACAGGCAGTCCCCCATTCACATGTGGTGGATAAAAATCAAGAAGGATACCTTGGGAGGGAGCAATCCCAGCCCCAGACCAGACTACAGATCCCACGGTTCCAGCACTGGGAACATAAATCCCCGTAACTTCTGCCTGTAAACACCAGTGGGAGTTGGTGTGGTGGAAAAAAACTGGTGAATTTTCAGGAAACTCTGCTTAAAGGGCCCACATGGTCTTAAAACATACACAAACCCACCCACTCTTGGATTCAACACCAGAGCAATAGATAGAAGGCTGCCAGTTACATATGGGGAGTAGATGAAGTGGCAGGAAAAGGGAGGAGAGCCAGGCAAACCTCCAGAAGCCAGGTAATGGCACAGTCTCCTCTCCAAGCCCTCCCCTCACACAGAACCACAAAGCAGTGAATTGGGTTGCTCTGCCCTGGGAAGTACCTAATGCTCTGCCCCACATAAATTACAATTTACAGGTGCCTTTTCGACAATATACAGTGCTTCTAAGACAGGGCATCAAAGCAGCTCTACCTAATTCACAAAACAAACACAGGGAGACTACCAAATTGAGAAGACAAAGAAATATGGCCCAAATGAAAGAACAAAACAAAACCCCAGAAAAAGAACTCAGTAAAACTGAGATAGCCAACCTATCAGATGCAGAGTTCAAAACACTGGTAGTCAGGATGCTCAAAGAACTTTTTGAGTACAGCAACAACATAAAAGAAGAAACGAAGGTTACACTGAGTGAAATAAAGAAAAATTGTATTTTTTTCACAATGGGTGTGCCACCATAACAGGTGTTGCAAAAACCACCACTAAATCAAAGCCAAAGTGGGAGAGGAAAAGACTCACATCAACAATGTGGTCATTGTACATGTAGAATCTGGCAAGTCTACCACTACTGGCCATCTGATCTACAAATGTGGTAGCATCAACAAAAGAACCATAGAAAAATTTGAGAAGGAGGCTACTGAGATGGGGAAGGGCTCCTTCAAGTATGTCTCGGTCTTGGGAAAGCTGAAAGCTGAACACAAGCATGGTATCACCACCATTATCGCCTTGTAGGAACTTGAAAGCAGCAAGTATTATGTGACCATCACTGATATCCCAGGACACATGGACTTTATCAAAAACATGATTACGGGCACATCTCAGGATTATTCTCCTGGTCTAGTTGTTGCTGTTGGTGCTGATGAGTTTGAAGCAGGTGTCTCCAAGAATGGGCCGACTGGTGAGCATGCCCTTCTGGTTTACACACTGGGTGTGAAACAGCTGATTGTTGATGTTAACTAAATGGATTCCACTGAGCCGCCCTACAGCCAGAAGAGATATGAGGAAATTGTTAAAGTCAGCACCTACATTAAGAAAATTGGCTACAACACTGATACAGTAGCATACTTCTGGTTGGAATGGTGACAACATTCTGGAGTCAAGTGCTAACATGCCTTGGTTTAAGGGATGGAAATTCATCTGTAAAGATGGCTATGCCAGTGGAACCACAATGCTTGAAGCTCTGCATTGCATCCTACCACCAGCTCATCCAACTGACAAGCCCCCACATCTGCCTCTCCAGGATGTCTACAAAATTGGTGGTATTTGTACTGTCCCTGTGGGTCAAGTGGAGACTGGTGTTCTCAAACCTGGCATGATGGTCACCTTTGATCCAGTCAATATTACAACTGAAGTAAACTCTGTTGAAATGCACCATGAAACTTTGAGTAAAGCTCTTTCTGGGGACAATGTGGACTTCAATGTCAAGAACATGTCTGTCAAAGATGTTCATCGTGGCAATGTGGCTGGTGACAGGAAAAATGACCCACCAATGGAAGCAGCTGGCCTCACAGCTTGGGTGATTATCCTCAACCATCCAGGCCAAATCAGTGCTGGATATGCACCTGTTCTGGATTGTCACACAGCTCATATTGCTTGCAAATTTGCTGAGCTGAAGGAGAAGATTGATCATTGTTCTGGGGAAAAGCTGGAAGATGGCCCAAAGATTCTGAAATCTGGTGATGCTACAATCATTGATATGGTTCCTGGCAAGCCCATGTGTATTGAGAGCTTCCCTGACTATCCTCCTCTGGGCCACTTTGCTATTCATGACATGAGACAGACAGGTACTGGTGGTGTCATGAAAGCAGTGGACAAGGCGGCAAATGGAGCTGGCAAAGTCATCAAGTCTGCCCAGAAAGCTCAGAAGGCTAAATGATTATTATCCCCAACACCTGCTACTCCAGTCTTAATCAGTGGTGGAAGAACAGTCTCAGGACAGTTTGTCTCAATTGGTCAGTTAAGTTTAATAGTAAACAACTGGTTAATGATTACAATGCATCATAAAACCTCCAAAAGGAAAGGAAAATGTTTTGTGGACCAATTGGGTTTTTTGCATGTGGCAATTTTTAAGTTATTAGTTTTTAAAATCAGAACTTTTTAATGGAAACAACTTGATGAAAATCTGTCACAGAATTTTGAGACCCATTAAAACAAAGTTTGATAATAAGAAAAATCTACAGGGAACCAACAGTTCAAAGAAGGAAGCTGAGATTCAAATCAATAATTTGGAACATATGGAAGAAATAAACATTCAACCAGAATAGAAAGAAGAAAACAAGAATTCAAAAAAACAAGAGTAGTATAAGAAGTATAAGAAGACTCTGGAATATCACCAAATGTGCCAACATCCAAATCATAGAGATGCCAGAAGGAGAAGAGGAAGAGCAATAAGTTGAAAACTTACTGGAAAAAATAACAAAAGAAGACTTCCCTAATTTGGTGAAGGAAATAGACATACGAGTCCAGGAAGCACAGGGAGTCCCCAAGAAGTTGGACCCAAAGAGGACCACACCAAGAACACATCACAATTAAAATGCCAAAAGTTAAAGATAAGGAGAGAATCTTAAAAGCTGCAACAGAAAAGCAGAGCCATTACCTACAAAGGAGTTACCATAAGACTATCAACTGATTTCTCAAAAGAAATTGTGCAGGCAAGAAGGGACTGGCAAGAGGTATTCAAAGTTATGAAAAGCAAGGACCTATGACCAAAATTACTCTATCCAGCAAAGCTATCATTTAGAATGAAAGGGCAAATAAAGTGCTTCCCAGACAAGGTAAAGCTAAAGGAATTCATCATCATCAAGCCATTATTAAATGAAATGTTAAAGGGACTTATTTAAGAAAAAGAGGAAGATCAAAACTATGAAAAATAAAAATGCAGCAAATTCACAACTATCAACAAGAGAATCTAAAAAAAAAAAAAAACTAAGCAAACAACCAGAACAGGAACAGAATCATAGGTATGCAGATCACATGGAGGGTTATCAGCTGGAAGAGGAAAGGGGGAGAATGAGGGAAAAGGTCAGGGATTAAAAAGCATAATTGGTAGGTACAAAATATACAGGGGGATTTTGAAAATAGTATAAGAAATGGAGAAGCCAAAGAACTTATATGCACAACCCATGGACATGAACTAAGGAGGAGGTTGCTGGAAGGAAGGAAGATACCAGGTGAATAAAGGCAAAGGGGGGAAAAACTAGGACAATTGTAATAACGCAATCAATAAAATATACTCTAAAAAAGAGTATCACACCAATGCTTTATGACTGAATCTTACATGCCATATAAAAATTTTCTATAGTGACTAAAAACCCCAATCTCCAAAACCAAATCTTTATTAAATGCATATTTATTAGTTTCTAACATGAGCATGTGGAGCCCAAAGATTAACTGTACATCTGAGAGAGGGTTTTTTGTTTGTTTTGTTTTTAACATGGTAGCATTGTTTCTGTTTGATTTGTAAAACCTAAGGTATTATCTTTTGTGATGCTAATATTGAGAAGCAGAGAAACATTTGCACTATGGACTATGTGATATAAAGAAAGATCTGTGTAATAGGAGGAAGGATATTTACCCCGTATTACAAAACAAATAACTAATTTGATCTTCCCTATAACTCAAGGCATGCTAGAATGTACCTCATAATGGGTTTTACTATGTTCTGTTCCATAAAGCATTTCTAGCTACTATAACGATAAACTGATATTTCAATGTTACCCATATAACTCCAAATAGAGTTTTCAAATCACAATTCCATGCAGAAATCAGCCTAAAAGCATTATGGCATTTTTAAACACTTAAAAGTGTTATGAAATTTTCTTAGATGTTGAAATATTTTATACACACCATGGCTTTATGTAGTATCTATGGAGGATAATAATGGCAGATGCAGATATTCAAATCACTGCCAATTTGTACTATAGAGATAAAGAGATGCTTCTGTTTGCATATGGATATTCATAAAAATTAGGAGAAAAAGTCAAAGCTAAATAAATATTTAATATATCAGCACCTGTCATAGTTTTGCATGTGTGTGCTTTACTACCATTGACTAGCAGTAGTACTGCTACTCTAACCAACTTCATTAAAGAATAAAAGAAAAGTAATAAGTCATTTCACACTCTGTCTGACCATTACACAATAATAGCAAGATTTCATGTAAGGGTACAACATTATGCCCATCTGCAATCACAGTCTCTTTGCAAAAATCTCAATTCACACTTCACATGCAGCTAACCTTGTTACCATCCCTTCCTAAATCCATCAGTGTTGCAGCTGCACGTCTTCACAGCCCAACATCTTAAAATTCATCACTTTGGCACCTAACCATCACTATAGGTCAAGATAAAGAATCCAGCCAAGAATAATTAAAGGGCACCCAGATGTTTAGTTTACTTATCTCAAGCCTTTCCTTTAACATATTTGAATTGCCTGTGTGTACTATTTCTTTCATAATTTTAAGATATGTGCAAGGTGATTATTCTAAGTGTATGAGACCTGGAACAATACATTTCAGACTTTTTTTTACAAGTATAGTTCTTTGTAGTTGAAATTTGAACAAGAGGAATGATAATGAGTAGGTTGAGGGAAGGAAAGGTGTTATCTCATTAAGGTAATTACTAAGACATCCTCACCATTATAGTGGTTTGAAAATGTGGCAATTAAAGCGCCCTACATGGGCTCCTGGAGACAAGAGAACAAGACAGTTCTCTTGGAACTTCTATGTTATGGTTAATGTGTGTCATGTAAATGAAAGGAGAGACTATTGCTATTTAGTTCTTTTCCTCGACCCTCCGCCCTCACCCTCAAATATCCTTGTGGGTTGTTGTTTTTTTTTTTTCTTTAAACTGAATTTAGTTCTGATGACAGGTGCCGAATTGACAGCCCTAAGAAGCTAAAGCCTTTTTACCCACCGAACAGTTGGAGCACAGAAAACTGTAGGGCAGACCAGGCAGGCAATGTACTATCAATCCCAATTCAGAAGAGACCTAACCTTCTTTCTCCTTCTTTAGTCAGGCAAGCTTCCTCTGATGAGGAGATTGCCAAAGCTAGTGACACTCAAAGTACACGCTAAAAAAAAAAAAAAAAAAAAAGCAAGTGGTATTCTTAGTTTACTTCACCACAACATATGCAGGCTAATTCACACAGCTCTAAATTTGCTTAGACTGAATTTGCACTATTCACTGAAACCACTGCCTTTGGTCAGTAATTCATTTCCCTTCTTGAGCTGGTCATCTTACTCTTTCATTGCTTCTCTTCCTAATCAAAATAAATAATAAAATGATACACCAAATAACATATAGAATCCATTCTCCAACATCTTGCTTTTGTGCTCACTGAAGTATTATTTATCTCAAGTTAAGGAAAACAATCTAAATGTCCAGCAAAGGAAGAATAGTTGACTCTATCATGACACATTTACAAGAGAGAATATTTTGTATCAAATATTATACTTACAAAGAGTTTGAAATAATACATAGAAATACTGGTTTTACATGAGAAAAGCATAAATGATGTCCCAGATGAAGTGTGATTACAATGATGTAAAAATTCACAGCAAAACATTTAGAAATAATAAATCAAGTATTAGCAGTACTTGTCTTTGAATGATAAAAGAAGGACTTCATTTCTTCTCTCTACTTTTTGGTATTTTATAAATGTTCTACAGTGAGCATGCATTACTTTTATAATAGGAATAATAATTTTTATGGAAGGTTTATTTCTTTTGTAGTAGGATTTGACCACAAAAATTTAATTCCATTAAAATTGAAAGTCAAGAATCATCTGAAAATGCTATATTATAGTATCTCTTTCCTTCCCTTTCTCTCTATCTTTACAGGAAAAAAAATGGAAGAGAGACATGGATGGGAGGAAAAAACACTAAGCAAATATGTTGTAGAAAAAAAACTAAAGCTTAAAATAAGTAATAAACTAGATAACATTTGAGATTCCTTCCAATCCTGGGTTTGGATCAAGATCAGCTCTGCTTAAAATCCAATTACTTATTAATGTAGATATTGGAAAATAACTTTTTGCCAAATTTCTGGGCAGAACCAAGTAAGAGACATGTTCTCCATAGGAACTAGATCATTTATGTTCTCATAAAGGAAAGAAAAGCCTGTAAACATGTTGGCAAGTAAGGGAGATCCTTCTTGAAATGCCATGGAAGTATACAGCACTGCTGGAAATAAGCAGTGTTTTCAATAGTTCTTTTTTTTTTAATCCTGTTGCAGAAAGTTAATAGTAGGATTCAATAAATGTACAAGCTTAAGTCAACTTTTCAGCATTGATGTCCCTCAATAGAAATGCTTGACCCATCTTACCTTTGCCCCCATAAAAACACCCCAAATATATAAAATAGCAAAGTAAAAAAACAGGAGGGTAAAAGCAAGACAGGAATGGAGAGCAGAACCAACTCTGAGGACCTGGGGTTTTTTTTTTTTTAAGTTTCCAGGCAGGTGGGCTAGTGGCTTTCTTTACTGAATTCACTCACCTGACGCTTCTCACCAGATCCCTGGCCATCAGATCTATTAGCAGTTTCTGAAATGAACGCAGTCATTATTTCTTTGCTAAATGAGGTGGAAAGATCTTAATGTTTATATCAATTCTAATCGAATTCTACCCTAATAAATATCTTCATGGGAGGACTTTGGGCATGTGAAAATAATTGTGCCTTCTACAAGGATAATTAGGCCATCAGTCGCAGGGTGGCGTGCATGGAGTTGCATAATGTCATCCCTTTGGCCCCAACAAGGGTACAAGGTAACCCAAAATGATAACAAAAGAGGTAAAAGAAATGGGTAACAAAAGTTTGGGCCTGGTCTTTGGAACTAGGCACGCCTGGGAAAACTCTACACAGGGTTGAAGGACAACCCC